AAGCAACTGGAAGCAAGAGAAGCGAAGGTTCAAAATATGGCGTTTAAGCGTAGATTATTAGAGGGTCAGATGAAAGCGAACTATGAAAGTGAGATAGCAAGATTGAAAGGGGAAATATATAATCCGAGAATACCTGAAACATCTCTGGAACATCTTAAAAAAAGGGTTGAAACATTAAGTGAATTAAGTGAATCTATTTTCTAAAACAATATATAAAAAAGAATGGTAATTAAAAATGCTGATATACAGTTTCACAGAAGATCTAGATATGAAGATATTTTAGAGCTGGTTAATGATAATGAAGAAGCGTTAAAACCTTTTCCTAATAGAGATGCTGTATTTTTTAAACAAAGTAATAAGGGGACGAGGTTTGATGGAAAAGACCATTTAGATAAATCAAAAGTTCAAGAAAAACAAATAGCAGAAAGAATTGTTAGAGACCATATGCTACGTGAATACGCTAGCGATAATGAATTAACACACAGATCATTATTTAAACAACATGACAGACCAGAAGAGGAACAACCGTTAACGCCACAAATGTTTAACATTGCAACAGATGCAGAAAGCACATCTGTAATTGAAGAATACGGAACACCACAGCAACAACTCGCGGAAATAAACGAAGTATTAGAAAATGTATCAAATGCACATCAAGGCAACCAACAAGCGATATCCCAAGCACATCAACAACAATTACAACGTGAAGAAGAAGGCGGGTCGGGAGTTTTAAGAAGTCTAGGAAGTAGCGCATTAAGATTAGGGGGGAATGTTGCTGGTAATATGGCGTCTGGTATGAATTTTTCAACAGCTATGTTATCTGGTATGACGCAGGAAGCTATGCAAACATTACAAGAAACACTGATGAGAAGAATAGTTCCACCACCGAGACCGCTATTAGATTTTACAGGTGAAGGGAGAAACAATCGTGAATTTACAACATATGAAACAACACCAATACCGAATATGCAATATTTAACACCATCTATAATATTAGAACCACATCAACCCAATTTCGGAGCGACGCAACAACCTTTGCCGGTAGCATCATCAAGCCAACCTGCAATATCAGAACTAACACCGAGACCACAGAGACCAACAGAACCAAGGGGAAAATCAAGACCCAGACCAACACCTAAAACATCACCAACACCACCACAACCTAATTTTCAAGAAGGAGGGGCGTCGGGTTCAGGAAGTAATGAAGAAAGAACACCGCCTAGACCATCAACACCGCCACAAAATGAAGCCAGAAGAACACGTTTAACAAGAAAAACAAATTTGAAGGAAGGAACAACAGAAGAGCAAGATATGGTATCACCTACATTAATTATTCCAAGTAAAATGGGTATTCAAAAATTAAGAGAAGTATTTGAAGAAGCAAATAACAGAAAAACAATTAATGCAACTACTTATAGAAATTTTAGGAATATTTATAATAATTGGGTAAGATCTGCTGGCAACAAGGATAATAAGAAACAATATCTACAAGAATTAAAGGATTTATATAGAAATAGTATATATAAGAAATAAATAAGCTTTGACATATTTCAATAAATAATAATTTATTGAAATATTTCTTTTTTCAAAAGTTTTAAAAGTTTTAAAAACTAAAATATATAGTATTATATATATGAAGAAATCAGTTCAAGATGAATTGTTCGAGATTCTGTATAAACAATCAAGGCACGAGGTGGAAAAATTAGAAATTATTAAAGAAAGTAGGATAAGTAAAATTGAAGAAATTAAACAGAAATGCGTTATAGATAATGATGAACAAGAACAACTAGATAAGGAAATGAGTTATTTAGAAAAGCAAATTGAATTACATAAAGAACTAATAGAGTTATATGAAAAAAATGATGGTTAAAATCTATATATTTCTTTTAAAATGTTTTAAAGAAAAAGTAATATATATTATTATAAATATTTTTTAATAAAATATATTTGAAATAAATTTATGCTGAAAATTTGATAAAAACTTAATTATGTTAATTTGTAAAATGCAATTTTTTAAAAAATATTTTTTTTTATGAAAATTTTGAAAAATTGTTTTTATGAAATATTGAAAAATTAATTTTATGAAATTTTGGAAAATATTTTTTTGAAAATTTTGAAAATTAATTTATGAAAAATTTTGAAAATTATTTTTATGAAATTTTGGAAAAATATTTTATGAAAAATTTTGATAAATTTTATGATAAAAATTTTGATAAATTTTATGATAAAAATTTTGAAAATTATTTTATGAAAAATTTTGATAAATTTTATGATAAAAATTTTTGAATATTTTTTATCATAAAATAAATATGATTTGTTTAAGTGGATTGAAAAAATGAAATTTGAAAATTTATGAGTTTTTTATTAAAAATTGAAAATTTTTACATTTTTTATTAGAATTTCTGTTAAGAATGGTTGAGGGGAGGATGTCAAAAACGAACAAAAATTTATTGGAAATTGGAAAACGTAGGGTAGACCCTAGGAAAAAAACGTATAAGGGTTGAGCGGTGCGATATAAAAGACTGCAGGTGGCTGATCCTAACTATCAGGACATGTAAACCCGTACGGATGTGAACGGAGCCAGAACAGGGGAACCTACTGTGCATTGGTCCAATGTTGGGGCCCGCACAGCGACTTGAAACCAGAACTCGAACACGGGAAGCAAATCTGGTCACAAGGATGGGAGCACAAAGCAGCCCAGCAAGTGATCTAACTGATTGGGGCCGACATTATGGTTCCCAAAATGTGGAGTTTCCGTGGCCCCAAAACTCGGCCCGCAGCGCGGCCCGCAAACTGGTGACCTTGCTCTTGCTGGCATTGAGAAAGCTGCCCAGAAAACAGTCCCAGAAAGGACACTGGAAGTCGTACGCTTTGCTGGCCAATCCACTCCCCTGCAGCTGCACAAACGTGCTAGCTGCTAGACTATATGCAAAGCTTGCGCGTAGCTTGCTGCGACATGGCCCTACACTTGCAGAATTTGCCTTTCCCCAGACAGGGCATGTAAGCTGATTGCTTTCTTATAATAATAATACATGTGCATTGGCCCAATTTTGGGGTCCGCAGAGCCACTCTGAAACCGGAACTCGAACACGGGAAGCAAATCTGGTCACAAGGATGGGAGCACAAATCGTCTCTACGTGGGACCCAAATCGGGTTCGGTGGGAGGCGGTGGGACCCGGTGGGTCCCAGCCCTTATCTACATGGGACCCTACACCCCGTTTGGGTGTTACAATGCTAATCAGGGTGAGGGGAGGCCCCATGATATCCATTTTCACTGCCCCGTAGCATTGTAGTCCAGGTATGCGTCCAGCCGGTCTATGCAATCATTTAGGGGGAGCCGGGCACAAGTTAAGCAGCTTTTAGTTGAGGTTTTCGGCCCAATTTGCAGGCCTAGATTCCGGACACTAAGCCAGCTTCATGATAGAGCGCCCTGAATGTATGCATAAAAGGCTGCGGGGCTGGGGCTCGGGCTGGGGCTTGGGGCTGGAGCTAAGTGCAGCAACGGGCTGTCGCTCATACTTCTTCTTGCAATTTACTGGTACTTGCTCCTTGCGTGCATATTTCTCTCGTATTTTCTCTTGTATACCTCTCGTATTCTCACTCGTATCTCTCTAGTGACTCTAGTGCTCGTATTTTTCCAAGTTTCCTAGGGATTATACGAGCCGAAATACGAGCGGAAATACCAGAGATGGACCAGAGGCGCAGGAGAAATGCGACGGACATTCGAGTGAATTGGAGAGGTACCACTGTGACCAGAGAAACGAATACAAATACGCCCCAGCTCCAGCCCCAGCCCAGCCCTATAGTCACAGCCCCCAGCCCCAACCCCCAGCCAAAGCCCCAGCCCCAGCCCCAAGCCCAAGCACGAGCCCCAGCCCCACAGCCAGGCCACCAGCCCCTCTCTCCCCTTGCTCTCTCTACTCACTCTACTCCTGTGCCTTACTCCTTCTGGCTACCTCGACGGCCGTCCGGATAGTAACTGGTACCTGGGATTACCTCGGGTCGACATAGGTATACATATGCAATATGTAACTCGAATATAGATTGCAAGCTTACTTCTTCGTCTTGATACTTGGTCTATATCTGGCATGACTCTTGAATGAATGTGCAATGTAATTTTCTTCCAGTGTTCTTGCACCAGTCACTAGTCGGTTACTGTTCTGTGTTTCTTCTGTGTCTCTTCTAGTTCCCTGCGGGTTGCAGCAACTTACTTTGTGCTGTTATTGTATCGTTCTTGTGATTTTGTCGTGACTTTTAGTGTATTTACTCTTGTATTGTTCTTGTGCTCCTCTTGTATGTCTCTTGCATTTCTCTTGTCTCTTTCTTGTATTCTCTCTTGTATTCGCTGTGTAAAAACTTTGCCGTCTTGGATTGTTCATATATCTTCTTGTACATTTTGTCGTATGTTTGTTTCTATTGTCTCCTGCTGGATTGCCGCTCGTATTCCCGCGAGTATTGTTGCTATTGTATGCTGATTGCCGCTAGTATTTCCGCTAGTATTCCCGCTCGTATTCATCTGATAGTCTGATATTTTACTGGTAACTTTGACAAGTGATACTTTTGATACATGCCGGTCATTCCGGGACATCCCTCACAAGACTCGCCTTCCTACCTAGTTCTCAAGAAATATGTAGATGAGACTGAGGAACGCGCGGAGAGCCTGGTTCGTGCGTGTTTGATCACCCCAGACAAAGCGACGATGAGATATGCGATTCTCTGAGTCTATGAGTCTAAACCTGGAGAAGACCCAGAGCCGAGCAAGAAAAGAAATTTCATGATCGCCCGTGTGCTTCCAGACATTCAGAAAGTAGAGACAACTGGAAGTGCCTTGACGCGCTAAGCCGACCTGGATGACACACCCTGGGAGCGCACATGTGAATCGAGTTTGCTATCTACCATCTGGAGTAACATACAGCATATGTTTGGATGCAACTATGCACAAGCCAGCTCAAAAGACCGTCGAGCTAACAAGGCTGGAACCGAATGGAAACTTCCCAGTCCTTGTCGCTGCAATCTGCTAAGCCCTGAGCGTGAAGCGCCTTGACTGCGGCAAGAGTCGAGCTCTCAGTCCTCTGCGAGATCAACGATCTGATGTCGGATGCCCCATAGCTTCTTGGACAATCTGTATGAAAGCCACAGTCAATGCCCACCTCCATCTTCAATGGAGCCCTGGTCACAAAACTTGCCACAACGTTCTCTGAGGTCACAGAACCGGTCACAGAACTGGCCGCAACTTTCTCTGAGACCCCTGAACCTACTGCAAGCGTCTCTTTTGACCTCTGTGGCAAGCACGAGTAGTTCATTGAATATCCGAAAGAAAAGGCAAGGGCCATGCCCACACAGAGCGCAATTCTCCAGAAGTGCTCCCACATGATGTATGATAAAGTTCGGCAACACAGATCTACAACAAGACAGCACAAAGGTGCTTGGGCAGAAGCGGCAGAATTATCGGAACAAGTCAGCAGGCATCTGTCTAACGGGCACAAAGGCCGCTGTGCGTCTCATCATGATATTACAATGTAAAAATTGATAGCGCAACGTCAAAATGACAACATGACAATGTACTAATATTCTATTATAACAATGGAAGAATAATATGAATGCAGAATACTGGAGGCCATACTGGATGTTGTTCCATTCTCAGTGCACGCAACGACGACGGTAGCACATGAATAATGAGCCACACAGGTTGTTATCACAGCAAACTTCTAAAAGCACGGTTGCAATGAGGCGACAGCAATGCATATCTTGTAATATTCGCAGACGGCACGTGTGTATTCCTCTGCATATGCAGCGCATGCTGCAAAACATAGCGCCTAAAACACCAGGATGCACTTGGCTTCAACAAGTGCACACCTCCGTTGTCGATCTCAAGTGTCCATTCGTTGCTCCTCGAGCGGGAGCCGGCAGATCAAGGCTCGCCGCAAATCACTATCCGAGGCTTGCTGCAGAAGTTCACTGGAAGGATAGCACGCACGAGATGATGCGGCAGGCAGTAGCAGGGACACTAGTAGGAGCGTCAAGCATCGACGGCCGCCAGAGCTTCAGCACGCAAACGAACTTTCAGGGACTGCGCCTCTTTCGTCCGCTTAAGCATCACGGCAGGCTGACTACCGCGCTTTAGCAGCAGGCAAGCCGGCACCAAGGCAGCATTTCCAACGCCCAAGTGCTGCCGCGGCCCCGGAAACGGGGAAAGTATCATGGCCTGGTTGCACCAGCAAAAGCACGGCTGTTTGCAAAGCTATATACGTCCGCGGACCTATAAGGAACCGATTGCAATCATGAAAAGGCTGAAGCGGTGCACGCACGTGCCGCTCGACTACATGATCATATCTCTGAACCTGCAGCAGTTGCATCTTCACTGAGCAGCGGCCGGTGAGAGACTGCCTATCTGTGGCCATAGCACAGGGTATGTTTAATACAGCATTTGTTCGATGGTTTCTGCTGCACCACTGCCGGGTCCAACCTTTTCCTTGCAGCCTTTGCTACCAGTTGTAGCTGCACATTGTGTCGGCCCGCTCCAGAATCGGGTAGTGGCGGTACTCGGTTCAAAGCAGTCAGAGTGCTTCAAGGTGTCCTTCGTCCCGATGTAGACCACCATAGAATTGGAAAGGTGCAATTCCTGGGCAAGTCCAAGGTTTATGGGGCAGTGCAGGAGCAGTGGCTTGCCACGAGTCTTCAGTAAGACCGGCGTTTGCCATGAGACGATGTAAACAACTCGTAAGTGCAGGGAGGTTCGCATGCACTGCGAATGCTGCCAATGCATGACTGCCGGCAGGATAGGCCCTCAGACTCTGAGACTTGAATAGCTCACGCTGGAGCGCGAGCCTCTGCATATGACCAGCCAGTGTGGTGCTTGGCTTGGGGAAGCTGACATTGGGCATGGACGGCCATCGTTAGATGCCGCGGGATCCATGCGCAGTCGGGACCAAACGCAGAACCGCTAATGAAAACCCGTGTACAAAAGCAAAGGCAGCACAACCACGACTCGCGTGACCTGCAGAGTGTCAAGATAAGGATCACCAGCACACTCGACTAAGCCGAACGGAGAATTATCACCTGTTGACGCCGAACGGCAGTGGAGCCCGTCCACAAGATGTGCCGAAGGACAAGCCCACGACGTGCTCAAGGAAACTGAACTATGCGACGATCAACGACGCGGCGAACAAATGGCCTGAAACGGCAGATCGCACCCAGAAGCGCTGCGTACACTGACGCAGATCTGACACAGATGGCGTCCGTTTTCACAGCAGCACTTTGCCGGCATGTAACCGCACAGGAACATCCGTCCACATTGCGTAAGGCACGTGAGGCATGTGAAGCACTTGCTGTCACGACCACGGCCATGACAAGCGACCACAGGACCGAGTGGCATTTGCATATCGATGCGGTCACGGGCATCTGGCACCTCATGCAGCCTTGGCTGCCTTGGCAACTCACCAGCATCGTTCGTCAAAGTAAGACCTGCAAGTCGGTCGCGTCGCCCGTCCGCCACTCGAGAGCTAGCATGCACGAAGCCCTAACGGTAAGAAAGCCTAGAGTATGGATGAACTCATATATGAGTGAACTTGACATGAACTCCACATATCACAGGAATGTCAAGAAACTGTGAAGCTACTTGCCACATGACACTTTTCGGAAACATTTCCATCTTCCACAAGTTTGAGCAGCTGTGTTGCTTCAAAATTTCATCAGGTTCGCCAGAACATGCGGACAACATGCGATAGAAATCCGCCGAGGCCACTGGCCCAGGCGTCTCCTCAGGTACCCTCCACCCCGTTTTTTGCGTGCGTTTCTCACCCTTGCCCGGCGTTCCTTCATTTTACCTGATTTCCTCGTTTTCCTCCCCCTGCCCCCCTTCCCCCCACCTCCCCCTCCCCCCCCACCCCGCCCACCCCTTCCCCCCCCCCTCCTCCCCTGCTGCGCGCCGCTAAAAAGCCCAGGCGGGCAGCGCAGCGTTAAAATTATGTGTAACACAGCTTTGAGACATCACAAAAACTGTGCTGTCGAGAGTCTGTGCCACCTGCGCGGAACCAATACAAGATCAAGACGCATCTGGGCTCCTACGGCCACTGGCACAACTCTAGATGAAAACAGAGGCTTCTAAAGGCTTCCACAGGCAGCACAAAGTCTCACACTTTTCAGCTGCATCTCGTGCTGGGCATGCCAACTCCAGCAGACTTCAAGAAATTTTATCATAAGAACCCGCACTTCTTCCATTGAGCGCGCGGGCCCAGCAAAAGCCTACATCTGGTTTTCAGATCCATGAATGAGCACGAACACCCTTCTGCCGCATCCTCGCGAACAAGTCATAGCTGTGGCGAATTGTTAAGCCAGAGTGAGTGCCCGGCGGGCCCCACCACTGTGCGAGCTGCAAGGTCTGCACATGGTGCTCGAAAAAGAACTCTTTCAGATTGCCAGGATCATTGACAAGCTGTCCGGCAACAGCATTTTCCAGCCACGAGGTGTCGACATCGAGCTTGAAAACACAGAAATCCTGAGGTCTACACTTTTCGTAAACCAGAGTCATTGGGTTGTTGCGGTCCCCGACAGCGTCAGAAATGCCGACGGCATTGTATCTTGTCAGCACAGGGTGGAACCGATTGTAAAGCTGCTGCGGAACGTTTTGCCAGTACTGCTCATCTGATATGTTCTTGACCTCCCAAACATAGATCTCGTCAAGTGGCAAACCCCTCTTCTCATAGGCGGTGGCAAACCACATGAGCTGATCTCCGAATCTAGTGCCACCTGCGTCGAAGAAAATCCGCTTTGTTCCAGGCTGTGGTGGGAAGTCTGCACTATCAGCAAGTATCAAATATTCCTTGACTCCCAAATAAGCGCCCCCACCACGAGAACAATTGAATCGTGGGTCCCTCAAAACACCTGCCAGAGGTTCTATCACTTGTGCCGGAAAGCCGGCCCTGCACAAGGTTGAGAATATCTTGTAATCTGAGTCCCGATAGGAATTGTTCTGTATCCGCTCGATCCACGTGTGATTGGAGTCAAAGCGCTCCAAGGTTTCACACGAAGAAGTCCAGTCAGCGGTGAGCGCATCTGGATTCCCGTGGAATGTGTCTTCCAACTCACTGCTCCGATACCAAGATTCAGTGCAAACCCTTCCCGGCTGGACCAGTGGCAAAGCTGATAAATGACTGCCTCGTACCTCGAGCGTTGTCTGGGCAACTTGCTGCGAGAAGAAAAAGCAAGAGCCCCACCCTTGGAACAGAAGCATTGCTGCCACAAGCAACAGGGGAATGGCAGCACATCTGTTACAGCCGACCATTGCTTTGGAACTTGAAAGAAAGACGGAAGCTACTGCCAGTCTCCGGCCACGTTGTGTGATGGATGTGTCGGTCTTGCTGGACAATGGAATTTGACAAAGGCCTGATTGCCCGAGGTAACGTTGGTTGCAATCGCACGTTGCGTGTGCAAGGATATATCCATCCAATCGCAAGAAAACCTGAAGAGCCATCAAGGACAGGACATGACCCGCTCACCTGGCATATACAATTTGCATATCTGCACAATGGGACTCGCAAGTTGCATGTTCGAAACAGTTCGCTCACGCAGAAACAAGCATGCATGCGTGCGTGCGTGGGTGCGCGCGTGGGTGCGCGCGTGGGTGTGTGGGTGCGTTGGTGCCGCACGGCGGGTGGGCGGGCGGGCGGGCGGGGGGCGGGCGGCGGGGGCGGGGCGGGCGGCGGGCGGGCGGGGGCGGGCAGGCAAGGGGCGGGGCAGGCGGCGGGCAGGCAAGGCGGGCGGGCGGGGGCGTGCGTGCGGGCGTGCGGCGTGCGGGCGTGTGCGGGTGCGCACCGCACCGTGCGGGCGTGCGGGCGTGAGTGCGGGGTGCATGGCGTGCGGTGTGCGGGCGTGCGGGCGTGCGGGGGGCGTGCGGCGGCGGGCGGGCGGCGTGCGGGCGGCGTGTGGCGGGCGTGCGGGCGTGTGCGGCGTGCGGGCGTGCGGGCGGGCGTGCGGGGCGGGCGTGGCGTGTGCGAGCATGCGGGCATGCGGGCATGCGTGGGCGTGCGAGCGTGCGCGCATGCGTAGGGGCGTGTGGTGCGGGCGGGCGTGCGGGCGGGCGTGCGGGCGTGCGGCGTGCGGGCGTGCGGGCGTGCGGGATGTGCGGGCGTGCGGGCGTGCGGGATGTGCGGGCGTGCGGGCGGGCGTGCGGGCGTGCGCACGTGCGTGCATGCGTGCGGGATGTGCGGGCGTGCGGGCGGGCGTGAGGACGTGCGGGTGTGCCGGATTCTTACATGCTTTTTCCTCTTTGCGGGAGGGGGCTGAAAATAACCGTGTTTCACCTGCCTAGACACCCCATACACTCCCGCACGCACGAAGTGTCCACGGAGTTGCAGTTTAGGTGACCCCGACAAGAATCGTTGAGAGGTGGCTCCTTGTAACTTTCAGGCTTAGGATCTCTCACACACACACACATTCTGCGAAAGCCATTTTGCAGCCGCGTCGGGTCTCGCATCACAGTACTTCGTTTCACTTGGGCAGAAGCGACAGCGAGATATCTATCGCTGCAGAAAAGCCCTGAATGTCTACCCGCATATATGGCTGCAGCTTGTCAGACCTATCATCGAGTACATGAGCTGGGTCATCTTCGACGCCAACCAGGAAGTAGTGCACCCACGGTGCTGTACCCATTGCGCTCCAGTACTCTGACAGTCGAGTCGCATTGCGTATTTGACATCCAATAACATGACGAGTTGCCGGCGAGCAAACAAACTCAATCGCTGCTGCAGACCGCGAGCAATCGCCTCCATTCAACCAGAACACGTTGGAGAATCCAGTGCCATGTGGTCCAAATGCAAGGTATGAAGAGCTCCATGCAAGATACTGCTCCACAAAGCTGTACCCCTGACCAGAAAAAACAAAAATCTCGTCCGAGCGACCATGCTTTCGCAGTGCTGCCTTGGCTACACGCACAACTTCCTCGGAATGCTCGTCAGAGAAAAGACGGCCATGCTTGACATTTTCTTTCGAGCGGATTTCATAAAGCACTTTTGTGGCCTTGGCAGGTGCATGGATGGCAGCCATGCGTGCGCGAGCATGAACATATAAGGCCGTGGGCCGAAAGTGGTTCACAACTGTATATCTCACATCTGGCAAGAAAGCCACCAGCTCATCCGCACACACAACTGTCTCGACTTGAACGTACACAGATCTGCCGTGCAAGAAAGGGTCAATGGCCTGAAGGAAACGTGCCACGCCACCCTCTTTGTCGAGAGGAAGCACCACCCTTGTATGCGGATATGAATAGCCCAACCACACTAGAAAGGGGAGCAAGTCATGCAAGACATGCCCGTATTGGAAGTTGTTCCAGAAATGGCCTCTGTAAACCGCTACAGCGCCTGCTATGTGAACATGGCACTCTTTCAGAGTGTCAGACCTGTCGAGCGGTGGTATAAAGAAAAAGTTCCTGGATGTGAGATTTGTTTCCTTGGCACTGTTCCATAACACTGTCTGGTGTCGGTCCGGACCCTCTCGGGAAATGTTGGCAAGGCTTGGAAAATAGAACCGGGGCTGGCGCACATGCTCAACTTTGAACATATCTTGAGCGACCAATGATGCTGGGTGCAGCTTTATCATATTCATCAGCCACTGTCTGAAAAAGTCGTGATTGGCTGTGCTGTTGAAGTCAGGGCTGACCTTCAGCTGTGGTGGAATCCTGTCTAGTTGGCAGCCTTGCAATGTTGCATTTACGGACACAGCCTGATGACCTTCAAGCCCTGGGCAGGACAAGCCTGTAAAAGCTGACCAGGGTCGCGGACTCCTTAGCAATATGTCTGCCTGATAAAGCACTATGACAATGGCCACCAACAGAAAGCATAGGAATTGTTGCCACCGTCGTCCTTGTGTACAGCATTCTACCTGTCAGGCAAAGCTCGGCGCACCAAGGCATACGCAAATGCTGACATGAGAACCTTGTTATGCTCTGGATAAGACTTGGTTCGTCTCACGAATATTTGTATTGACTGTTCAACATCAGGATGCGCGAATTTACTTGCGTTAGGCTTGGTAATTTTCGGGGATTGAAATCTTGTTGGAAGCCTTCGCACCCACAAGATGGTTTACAAGTTGAAACAGCGATCACGTGCTTTCCCAGGGTTTCGCGTGCAGAGCACCACTCAGATCGACACATGCGTTATGCCAAACCAATGAGTCTCGAAGTCCGAAAGCTTGTTTCGGCTCTCGTTTGGAGCGGTCGCACATCAGCCGCTAAGCTTCGCGATCGAAACTACGGTCGGGGTTTCTTTCCTTGCTCTTTTCTGAACGGAAATGCATCCGATAACCTGAAAGTTGAACCACGTTCCGCGGTGCGTGAACAACCAAAATCTACTGTTCTCGCAAATTACACCTCTTGCATCCAAGACACAACATGCATGTTTGCGAGGCCTGCCAGGCGCAAGAAGCGAGACAACATTTACATTAACCTCATCGAGCCAGAACAAGCCTTTGCTGGGAAGTTCCCTGACGCCACCCACAGGCCACAGCCAATTCCAGGTATGGCAACACGTTGTTGTCGAATCTCAGCTATCCTGCTACATGTCCCAATGAGGCTTTTGTGACCGGGCTAAAGTCATACACGTTTGTGGGTTTCAATATCTTACAAGAGTGCTTCTGATGTTGGTGCAATGCAAGCTTCTGAAAGCTGTGGCTGCTGCGGAACACATGTACCCCGTCAAAACAGCCGCGGCCTTCCAAGCCGATGCAAGAAAGCCTGCTTTGGAGAAAGCAATCAAGGTCAATCTTTGTGCAACCATGGCTGAAACCACGCAACAATGGTCGAAACTGGCAGCCTCCGTGTATTGGTGGAATGCGCATGTTACAGTCTTCGCAAAGTCGAAAGTGCAGCTCGCCGAAGCAATTCTCCCACGGGTCAAATATATACATATATATATATGTGTATATATATATATATATACATATATAATATTGATACAAACATATGTATGTATATATATGCTCACCCCCCCCCCCCGTTGACAGACCGCGGGTCTAAAAAACACCGTGCACGACGATATTCTATGAAGCAAAACCTTTACATGAGGTACACAGTACAGCACCAGACGTGCGGCACATGAGTTACGTAATAGTCTTGTGGTAGTATCGGTATTAGGGTGAGTATTATTATCAATATTAGTACTATTGTTTGCTGTAAATATACAGATCAATATTGCCAACTATAAATTAGTGTTAGTGCTCATGTTCGTGTTTTAGAGTTAGCGCTAGTGCCAGTGTCAGTGTCAGTAATACAGCACCACTGCTACGCGTAGTATCAGTATCAGTCTTAATGCTGGGTTTAACAGCAGTTTATATTCGCAGAAGTGCTAGTATTAGTATCAATATTAGAACTAGTTAGTTTTGATATGTTAGTATATTGATAGTCTCGTATATTAGCAGATTAATATATCAATACATTAATGTATTCGAACAGCAAAATATTTGCATACTTGTATACTAGTATATTTTACATGTTAGTACAACTGGTGCATGAGTACACTACTATATTGCTGTATTAGCTTACTAGTATATTGACATACCAGTATATTCGTACGTTAGCATATTAGTATACGAGTATGTGTACTATATTACTGTTTTATCTAATCATTTATAAGTATATAGTTGAACACGAAGTAAACCCGTCGTGTTACAAAACAAGCAAAAGCAAGCACTCACAGCACTTCTTTTACTTGAGCCAAATACGTTCGTGTGCGTCAAGCTGCTCTTCATCTACCTTCTACAAGGACATCTTAGCTACATCATGCAGGTGCTTGGGGCTCGAGTATGATTAACTCCCCCCTTGAAGACAGCGTGAAACGCTACACTGAACTTAGTTACGCAGACTACCTACTTGGCGGAATTGCCACTCCGATTAGAAGTGGAATCCAAGCTCTCGCAGCTTCAGCTGGCTGTCGACGGGCAGCCTGCTCACGTTTCTAGGTGTGAAGGCAATTATGACGATTCTGTCACCCTTCGTGCAAGGGGTCGTCGCATGTAACCGTCTTGGATCGAAGATCGCTGGCCATTTAAGGATCTCGCCCTTTTCACCTCGACTGAGGTCTGGGCATGGGTAGCCACCGTCTTGTGCACGTGGCCCCCCTCGAACACTTCAAGTGGGATTACAGCGTTCTTGCTGCATGGCTCGTTGTAAGAATCCTTATGAGTCACAGTAATTTGATTCTTGGCCAACATCACTGCCGTAAACTTATGCTTAGGCAACACCCTACGGATGAACCTGCACAAAACCGCAGTGACTACTGGGAAGAGGGTTACATTTTGCCTTAAACCTGCGATCCCACCTCCGTGCGCGAACGCACCGGTGGTGAAGCACATTGCCTCACTTGCAGAGGGGCGCACGGCGCTCTCCCCCGGCAAGTACGACAAAAGCTGCACAAGGTCTTCTTGTGTGATCTTCCTGGGCAGTGAGCTTGCAAAACGCTCTGCTTCCTCAGCTACGACCTTTGAGACGGTCGCACTGTGAGGGACACCTTCGTGAAGGCACAACTGTGTGAGCATATCAGACCACTCAGCAGGAGGGATGATCTTAGTCAAACCATTAGCTAATTGCTCCTTGCTGTTCACGTAAGTAGCCGAAAAATCTTCTTGTTCAAAGATCTCTGCCATACTTGCCACATTTACGCGGTGCACGCGCCCTAAGTGGCGAAGCTTTGGACTGTATCCTGACTTCAGGATGGCCAAAACAGTTTCATTGTCTTGGAAGAAGATGATTGGCACTGTGCTTTTGAAGGCTGACTGTAAGAACGTCTGCAGGTTTATGACCTCTGAAAACATGGCTGATGCCATTGAGATCATTTCGGCCTCTGGCGTCGACCTCGCAACAGACGTTTGCTTGCGACTTTGCCACATCACAGGGAATGCATGCTGACCTGTGCCTATGTGGACTACAATCCCGGACGTGCTACGTGAAGTGTAGGGACAGGCTGCGAAGTCAGCGTCTGTATACACCCGTAGCTCGGGAGCGGCATCCCAAGAGCAACTGGCATTCATGCAAACATCTCTGGTGTGATGAATATACGACACAAGTCTAAGCACTTGTCTGTCCTCCCAGGCGGTCCACCGAGTGACCCTGGAAGCTAGGCGAGTTACAGCAAATGCGATGTCAGCTCTACAGAGACGAGCTAACCACAAACAGCGCATCAAGATGCGTGATGCTGAATCGTGGAGCTCGCCTTGCGCTGAGATATCCTCGTCGGTCATTGACGATTCAGCGATGCAGGGCGTGTTCACTCGGCGAAGCTTGTCGGGCGTTGTCCCGGTGATCTCGCAATAGGTTTGGACAATCTGCTCAGCATACTCAGGCATCCTAAAAGCCATTGTGGTCGACGATGGTTCATCGTACCGACAATGCAGTCTACCTAAGATCCGAACACCCTCAGAACCTATGAAACACTCGGGATCAAGTTTGACCTTCGCCCTCAACGCTTGCCAAAATGGCGTGTGCAATTTTGTTAATCCGCACAAACTCAAGTCATCGACGTAAATGTTTAAGATGAGAACCCCATCCTTGTACTCAAAGAACCAGTTGCTTGGAAACTCCTGGGACTCCTTTCCGCCTAATGAGATCAAAATCCTAGACAAGTACTCTTGCCAGAGCCGTCCGGCCTGTGGGTGGCCGTACAAGCTCTTGCGAAGTCGAACGACTATTCGCGCTTGCGCTCCAAAACGCTCCTCCCAACCAGGGAGCCACAACTCCCTTGGCAGGATTACGTATGTCTCTTCTTTAAGCTCTGATTGGAGGTATGCTTGGATTGCGTCAGAACATGACACAGAGTGCTCCGGTAAGCAACCCCAGAAGAGGGAGGCGTTCAAGGCTATTAACCCCGTTGGAGTCGTACTGGTCTCTTCGAAGAAAACCAGATTGTTAAACTCATCCAAAACCCTATCCCCTCTATAAACAATTCTCCCTTTGAACTTTTGAAATTCAGGTGCAAGTTCGGCATGCTTTACCCCGCACAAGGTCATCAGTTCTGCGACGCGAAGCTTGCGTCCCTGAGACCTAGCCTGACTTCTCAACTCATGCAAAGGCATGGCCGTCGTGTCATCCCATGTGCCGTTTCGGCGCAACCCCTCAGCTTCTTGAGCGATGGCTTCAAGCGCCTTCGGCTCAGCTTGCCATTCTCGGCGAGAGAGATTCTTGGTGATAAGCGCGCTAGCTTTACCAAGATTGGGGACACTTTTGAAGTACCTCTGGGGAAACAAGGATTGTATCACGAGATCCGCAAGCTCATACGCTTTGATGTTGGTTGCATTGATCTCTGATGACTCCTTCGTTGACACCTTTGCGAAGTGCTCCAGTACTCGCTTGGAGTTCGAAGCAATGGTGGTGGCTTTGTTACCGCTGACACAGGCTACACTGGAGAGCTCGTGTTTCGAAGCGAAGTCGATCCACTCAGGCTGCACAAGCACCCCCGAATCAGAACTCCACTGAAACGAAACCCGACCCCCCTGCTCAATGATATGGTCGGCAACATTTAGGGCCAAAACCAACATTCGCTTGGATGTTGCTTGCCTTTGTGCAATCTTTCGCGCGTACTTGGGACTTTGGGACTCACGATGTACGGCTTGGTGTGAAGACATATGTGTGCATGGTATGGTGAACCAAGCATCTACACCCGGGATTGCTTGGGAAACAACTTGCTGCATGTCATCCTGCGAAGTCAAGTCCAGCGTTGACTGGGACAGACTAACACAATGAACCTTACAACGTTCACAAGCATCTCTTATCTCAGACTCGTCTTCACAACCGTACTCGATAAGAACATTTTCCCCTGGAAGTTCCTTCACCCTTCTGGTGTTGTTACGCGCTCTCTCGTTTGCGAGAAACCTTGCACTCAAACCAAACTCACCTGTTGGAACTTTGCTTTCGGAAGACTGGACTACAACACCAGCTGGAGCCCGTTTGCCAGCAGAGGAGCTCGCGCGCTCTGGAGCATCCTCATCACCCTCGGGGGCTGCGGGTGCAGACTCCGCCAAAGGATCAGGGCGCTCAACATCAGGCGGTGCAGCGTCTCTGACTGACTTGCTCGCGGCAATCTTCTCGGCTTTAATCAAACCATCAAATCTTGCCTTACATACTGGCGTGTGTACTGTTCCATCGAACTTGCAGGCCTTACAACCAGGTGTTGCACCTAGTCGCATAAGTCTGTCCAAAGTAATGTACTCGTGGCGCTTGGCAACGGGTGTTGACGGCGCTACCGTGCTGAACGGCACATCAAGAAATTCGATGGCTTCATACTCGGCTTTCGTGAAACTAGACAAAGCAGCTTCTGCAGCGGTGAACATCGGGAGGATGGGATTGCCGCGGGGAACGTGGATTTCCTCTCTAGGGACGGAGATCGCCTTTTCGTACCCCGGTTCACGGTTCTTTAGCTTACCATAATCCAAGACATAGTAGACTTCTCTGAATGATGATGGACCGCTATCGAACCGCCAACCTGCGAAAACACCAGGTGCTGCTGATGCCTGAAACTTCTCACGGTTTGCCGGGTCAAGTCTGTAATAGACTAGTTGACCAAGTTGTAATTTCATGCCACCAAACTCGGATCCAATCGCGTTCGCATACCGACAACCCTCAATCCCGACCGCAGGGTGGAAAAGGTTAATGGTGTGTGCCGCATAGCGAACAGTGTGAACCCAAAGACCCGAATGCAACTGAAAACCGGCCGCAATGTGGAGAGCCCTTGTACACTCCTCGATGGTACGGATCTCCCGTTCGAGAACTGAGTTGTGAGGCCATCTACGCTCAAGGCTTGGTTCTGAAGTAAACCCCAACGTCGCACATGCGGCGAGGAGCTCTCGCGCATTGTCGCTCTTGAACAATACACAAGGTCCAGAAGCGCGCCTACCGAGAAAGGATAACAATGATCGTACCACCCCGTCTTCGTGCCTGGACACTAGCGGGAAAGCTCTTATGTACCCTGTAGCCTCATCCCTCACAGTCAGGACGACGGTTTCAGTGCTTTTAGCGTCTTTGTGCACTATGATGAAATCAGCCGCTATCCGTTGACCGAACTCCTCAACCGGATCTAACTCATCATCACACTTTGCATAGCGCGTCCTCGCCGTTCGCTTCTTTAGCATTCGACTCCGACTGCAGACATCACAGTAGGGGTTCTTTGGCATATGCGTTAAGCGATGCTGTAAACTCTGGGCTTCAGTGATTAGCCGCTGAGCCTTGGTTGGTGCATCCTCATCACCCTCATCGTCGGCACCGGAACCTTCCCCTGGATCAGGTGGAGGGGGTGCTGCGGGAGCTGGGAGAGGAGGGTCCTCTGCTGGGACAGCGGGCGCAGGAACCTCTGCTGGGGCTGCCGGAGCAGACTCACCAGCGGCTAAGGCTCTGTGCAAACCATCACCACCAAACCTGATCTGCTCACGAAATACCGGAACATAGTCATCAACCTTATGGGCATAAATGACACGATCCGAATCCCAAGTGATCTGGACGCAATCTTCGTCACTACCGAAGAACGGCATGCTACCAGGAAGCCAAACGAAAGGTTTTCGCTGCAACTCTACTAGTTGGCCTAAAGACCGCACTACCGGGCAGCTTTGCAGAACATAGGATTCTACTGATCCAAAGGCATCGCTCGTTGTAGTAAGGAAGGTGCCACTGCTCGTCACACCATTCCCGGTTTCAAACTGCAACGGCTTGGTTGACCGGATGTGATCGCTGAACATATCAGTCAAAATGCCCTGATCTGCAAGCGCGGATTGGCTTAGCAGGCTTCTCCCTGCCCCAGAATCAGCAACCCAATCAAGGAAGTACGACCCCCCTGAACAGTTAGGTCTACTGACTGTCGCGGCAATGCGATCATGCGAATGATGCACGGTTGCGGGCAATGCAAATGAAAGTGCTGCCGCAAAGCGGGCAAACACACGAAAGGGAGCGGTGATCAAGCGACATGTGGCTTTGAAACCGCGGACAAATGATGAAGGGATGTTGCATGCGCTCGCGCCCGTCGACGCGGCTGCTAACATGGCGACTCCGGCAGGCACCTTTGGGGCGGCCTTTGATGGAGCAGCTTTCTTTGGTGCATCTACATGCTCAAAAGGGCAATCCTTTCCCCTAGTGCATGTTCCTTTTGGATAGAAGAAGCACGCTGGCCTTTGGCCGGATTGTTCAGCTGACGAATCCTTTGCAGCTGGAGGTTTCTGAGGTTTAGCCTTGCCATCCTTACCTCCGCCTTTCCCTTTACCTTTGCCTTTGTCCCTGTTGGCACCCTCACCGGCACCACGATTGGCGTCGGTGACTCCTGGAGTTGCTTTGCTCGGGGCCTTCGGGGGCTTGTCATTGCCTTGGCCTTTGGCCTTAGCCTTTGCATTTGCCTTTGCAGCAGGAGCGGCGGGCGTAGCCTTGGCCGCGGCTGCTTTCGCATTTGCATCTGGTTTCGGCTTCTGTTTGGAATCCTCTTTGAGCGAATCCTTGAGCGCTTGCTCGTTACGATCCTCGCGCACTTCTGCAAGAACCTCTTCGAGCCCGTTCCAAATGTACTCAAATGTCCTACGCTTTGAACCCGGCTTGGCATCTTTGACCCGATCAATTGTGCGTGAAAGCATCCTGCAACCCTTTAGCCGTGAGTAGATCCAGGAAAACATTGTTTCGGCATCTGGCCATTGCCGCTCCGGTAAGCCATTCAACACGTACTCGACGCGTTGTTTGAAGGCTACAAGCGATTGGTAGGAAAATGAGTCAGGTTCTAAATCGAACAAGGATTGTAGTGTCACCAATGGCCCGCGCACTTTATCTATCCGGTATCTTCTGCTAAGAATGGACAAGAGTGCACGACCCGATGGCATCGTTCCAGACGCATGACACCTTTCCAAGTACGACTGCGCTTGCAATCCCCATTCACCTTTTAGGTGTTTCGCATCACTGATACATGCGGAGATCCACCCATCAAGTCTAGGCAAACCCTCGCAATCCTGCTGAAGCGACCGTGTCAATGCAATGCTCCCTGATGGATCAAGGCTCTTCTGAAGCCACTTCAACAGGACGGCTTTGCCGCTGCAATCGATTGACGCAATCTGTGTTAGCACCGAATTGCGGTAAGCCCTGAACTCAACGCTAGAACCCGGAATTTGGGGAAGCTTGATGTCTTTCAGGTCTTTGTACTTATAAATGCTAGACTCGTAATCTCTGTCATCTTCAGGCTCGTGAGCCGCAACGGGGACGATTGGATCATCCTCGAAATCTTCTCCGTCCTCATCACCCTCATCTTCGCCATGCTCATCAAAGTCATCTTCATCTGCTATGTCGAAGACTTGGGGCTTTAGCTTCTGCGGTGGAGGAGGTGGAGAAGCGGGTGTTGCGGAATGCAATCTACCCGTGAAGATGCTCTTACGGCTGCATTGGTACGGTGGCAATCCAAACTCAACCGGACCCGGGGCAACCGAACCACTAGAACCGGAAGCCTTAGCGGGAATTGGAGACGCAACTGATGATGCAATGGCCCTAGCTGTAGCCTCGGCTTTAGCTTTCTGCTTCTTTGCTTTGGCTTTGGGACTAAGGGCTACCTCAATTGCCTGTTCAATCCTTCGCATTGTTCCCCCAACTTCACCCGCGAGTGCCTGCAATGCGTTGAATGCAGACGCAGCCTGATCCGCGCCATTTTGGGTAGAGCTCGCGGGGATAGCCGATGAAGGGATGCTTGGGTTCTTTGGTTCGGCAGCTTGCACATGCGACTGAAGCGCGATTAGCTGCTGATGCATAGCCTTAGATAACTCTTGCTGCTCAAGGATCATCTTAGCTTGCTTTTCGAGTCTCTGGTTGAGCTCACGGTTCATCTCCCCTAACTGTTGATTCTCAGTTCGGAGGTTTCCGATCACCGTTTCAGCTTCACCCTGAATCACCGAAGCGCGTGAACCCAACTGCTGGTTTTCGGACCTTAGCGCCTGTATGGCGGCATACGACTCACCCTGAATCGCAGCGGCCTGGGCACCTAGCTGTTGGTTCTCTGATCTTAGAGACTGAATCACTGCTTCGGCTTCGCCAAACACGGCTGCTGTCTCAGCTCTGGCGTTCATGATGGCTGATGTTGCTTCGGATTGCATGTTCGCATGGGCTACCGGGTCAACCACAACCTGAAGGACCTGCTGCCGATGGGCATGTTGATGCAAGTGCAACTCCTGATGGCTCGTGTTCGGGCCGGTTGGGTTCTGACTACGGGCAGGGCCAACATTCGCTGCAAAGGTTGGTGCCGATTGCAGGGATGAAGACCTCGATGCGGGTCCATACGACAATGATCTAGCCCGGTTCCTCCGAATCGGCCCCGAACTTGATGAATCCGACTGCCTAGCTGCCTCCGGGCGCACGCTAAGTGCTTGAGCCCTAGGGGGCGTGCTTGACGATGAAATTTCCAGTGAGGATTCTTCGAATCCCAGTTGTGATGCTAGAGGCATTATGGGAACAGCGGTTCAACCGAGGTCTAAGGGTTGTAAAAATACTTCACCCCAACCGTCAAAGTTGACCCTCAACACGAACCCAAACCCGAGGAGCTGCGTTTGCAGTCTTCCTCTGCCTTTCTGTTTTGCCAGTCGGCGGCTAGAGCCAGCAGAGCTCCCACACGATCTGATCCAAAGCACGCGGGTCCTCCTCCGCCCAATGCACACCGTGATGGCCGTAGGATGTCACGTTCTTGCAAATCGGATCTTGATCGTCCACGTGATACAAAAAAGTCAGTGGAGCGGGGCGCGACCGGCTAAAGATATCCGCCAACTTAGACAATTGTGCTCCTTTGCCTGTGCCCGGCGCAATCTTGGATGTCGTGAAGAAAATGGGAAAGGTCAAAGGGCGCCGCACAATCGTCCGATCACAAATACGGTGGATACACTGGACCGCCTTATCAATGGTCTTTTGCTTCACCGCGTACGAGCAGAAAATCACAGCCAAGTCCGAGTGCTCTCGCAAGAGTCTCTCAAGGCACGCAGATGTCCTCGCCTCGTCGCGGTCAGCGACCAAATGAATGTCCAATGACAGCAGCACAGAAGTACCCGGCGGAAGCAATCCCTCCGCAACCTTAAGCGAAGTCACCTGACGCGCCACAGGTCGGAACCTCAACTCCCTCTCGGGTCCAGCCCCGCTGCCTGTTGTCGCGCGCTCGGGTCCAACCCCGCTGCTTGCAGCCGCACCTGAATCAAGAGACTCCTCCGCAGCCTCCTCGGCTGATTCAAGAATCTCCTCGGCTGCCTCGCGCTCCCTCTCGGGTCCAACCCCGCTACCTGCCGATCCAGATGGGATCGAAGAGGACCGTGGTGGAGATCTCGACCGCACACGAAGCAACGGATTGTTAGGTGAGATAACCGCTGCTCGCTGTCCGAGCGTGAGATATGGTCCGACGTTTGGTGCAGTAGATGGCGTGACTCCTGTTTTAGCTTTTGGAACAGGAGGCTGGGGCGGCAAATTTCTCCCACTCGGAAGAACACTTAGCGACCCGGAAGCCTCTAGCCCTGAAGATCCCGCAACCCTTTCTGAATTAGTACCCAAGGCACGAATCGAAGGCGGTGGATACGGTGGCTCGCGTGGCTCGCTCACGGGTACAGCCCCGGAGGTTCTATTATCAGTGACGGCTCTATTGTCGGGAGTCTCTGGTGTCACTGAAGAAGATGGAGCACTAGGAACGACAGGGAAGAGAGGAGGTCCAACTGGCGACGTCTGAAACTCAGGAAGTGGCTGGTGATGCGTGGGAAAGTTACCGCCCTTCAACCAATCAATGTACTCCAGTGCTACCTGCTTATTAGAAGCGTCCACCGGGTGCAAAGCGCCGACCTCCTGTTCAAGCTGCTCCAGTTGTGCCAAAAAGCCTCCTACGATCTTCAAGTGCAGCGACTTCCTCGCTCGGCGATTGGTGCCGCTCTCGCCCCCGCGCTTTTCAGCGTTAAGAAGAAGAACGTGCTTGAGCTCCAACCGCTCCTCTGGAGTTACTGCTTTCGGCTGATGCATACAATGGCCCAAGGGCAGCAGAGTAACAGCAGCGGGGAAATCCAAGAAAATCAGACTGAGAGCCGAAGGGATTTGGAATTGATTCTTTGTTTGCCTTTGGCTGTTGTGCTGTGCTGCCGAGGCAGTCTACAGCTGGGATGAGGGACTGAGGAAGCGGTTCAAAGGCCGAGCACGGGAAACACCCACGCTAACCCAAACCAGAAATCTCAATCAACCTCCAATCTCAGCGGAACTCTTACAGGAGGGTTGCTGGGATGCAATCGCACTCCTGACACGTTGCGGTTGTGTTCTGTTCTCTACTGGATCGCCTGTTGCACCACAAGGCCTGGCCTCCTTCGTCCGTGAACGGGACTACGGGAGAGGTGCTAAGGCAGGGCTTTGAGAAACCCGAAGAAGGTTACCACGCGGATGCCTGAGCAGGCAGGCGAATCACGCGGCAGATTTGGACCTCACAGATAATGTGCAAAACCAGGCTGCGATGTACGCTCTGGTTGGGATCTCAACTGTAGGGTTCTGGCTCTAACCCCAGGAGATTGACAGTGCAGGATACGGAAAGTGGTATGGAGGATGGGCAGGTCTCTCACTAGACCTACGGCGAACCGATTTCACGCAACCTCGCTAGTTGCTTTCAGATATGGAATGCACAGACACTAGGCCTGCACGCGGGGCACTATGGCTCGCAGGGGTCCTAGGCTCTCCCTAGACGACCACAGTGAATGATATGAAATGCTGAGGCTGTTAACCAGTTGAACACGAAGTAAACCCGTCGTGTTACAAAACAAGCAAAAGCAAGCACTCACAGCACTTCTTTTACTTGAGCCAAATACGTTCGTGTGCGTCAAGCTGCTCTTCATCTACCTTCTACAAGGACATCTTAGCTACATCATGCAGGTGCTTGGGGCTCGAGTATGATTAACTTATATCAGTATGTTGGCATATTAGTATACGAACTTGTCATGTCGGTATTCTTGCATAGTGCAGTAATTAGTCGTATATGAGTATAGTCACATGTTCGTGTAGTATATTCATACAACGACGAGAAGTATATTGTTACATTGGTATATGGGTATATGCCTATGCCAAAGCATTAATACATGAATGCACTGATGTATATATCAGTATCTTACGATAATGGTATGTATTTTACGTACATTAGTATATGCAGGTGTCTATTAGTAATGATATTAGTTTTCATATCAATATGAATATACTATTGGAGTATTAATGTCCATATTAATGTGCCGGTCGGTTTAGGAGCATGGGCTCCTTTAATGCGTTTTCTCCGGTGCTAATTCCGACCGGTACCAAAAATTTGGGCGGTCTAATTAACGCGTTTTTTTTGGCTGGGGTGATTTTTTGGTGGCGGGGCTGTGCTATTTGCTGATGGTCAATCTTAAGGCAGCCACGACCTAAACCCCCACCCAAACCCCCACCCAACCCTAAAACCCTGGCCCTGAAGCCCGAAAATCTCTTGCAGAATTGTTTCGCTTATTGGGGCGTCAGGAATGGGACTCTGTACTACCACTGTACTACTATTGTACTATTGTACTGCTACTGTATGCCTTGCTTATTGGGGGGGCTGCTAGGGTGAACCGCCGAATCGAGGATTGGACCCTAGCTCAAAAGAGGCCTCTCCAGTATTAAAGTTTGTATAAAAAATTCAATTTTGGGTCCAATCTGGACCGACCCCCCTTTGGGAAGGGTTTAGGGCTTAGGGTCTAGGGTTTGTTAGGGTTTAGGAGTTTAGGATTCGTTAGGGTTTAGGGTTTGTTAGGGTTTAGGGTTCAGGGTTTAGGGTTTAGGGTTTCAGGCGCTGGCTTTATGCTTTGCTTATTGGGGGAATGTGCTCACTCGCTTTATGCTTTGCTTATTGGTATTATTTCTGTACTATTGCTGTATTACTACTGTACTACTGTTGTACTACTACTGTACTACTAGTGTACTACTGTACTACTATTGTACTACCACTGTACTATGACTGTACTACTATTGTATTACGGTACTATTATCGTATTACTACTGTACTACTATTGTACTACCACGCTACTACTGTTGTATTACTATTGTACTACTGCACTACTAGTGTACTACTACTGTACTACTATTGTACTACTGTACTACTACTGTACTACTATTGTGCTACTATTGTACTACTGGACTATTCTTGTACTACTACTGTACTACTATTGTACTACCACTGCACTACTGTTGTGTTACTATTGTACTACTGCACTATTATTATACTACTACTGTACTACTACTGTACTACTATTGTATTACGGTACTATTATCGTACTACTACTGTACTACTACTGTACTACTATTGTGCTGCTATTGTACTACTGTACTATTATTGTACTACTACTGTACTACTATTGTACTACCACTGTACTACTGTTGTATTACTATTGTACTACTGCACTATTATTGTACTACCATTGTACTACTACTGTATTATTTCTACTGTACTACTATTGTACTACTGTACTATTATTGTACCGCACCAAGCTTCAGACGTGGTCGATTGTGGGTGGGAGTGTGTGTGAGTGTAGGTTACGGAGGCAAAAGTGTTCAAAATGAAGGGTTTTTAGTCTTGGTAGTAGTCTTGGAATGATCGGGGCTTGGTTTCCAGCATTTGGTGATCCCCAGACCCCCCCGACCCCCGACCGCGCATTCGCGCAGAACCGCAGACCCTGCACCCAAGCCAACCCCCAAACCCCGGCACCTCCCAATTCCCTGCCACTCAGACCCCTGACCCCTGTCCGGCGTCACCGGCTCCATATTAAATAGCTTTTTAATTTTTGGTCGGGGGGGGGGGGTACCCTACCCGTAAACCGACCGCCAATTTATACTCGTATTAGCCATAATATGGGTGTTCTTGCTGGTTATATTAGTGGCATGCTTGAATATTCAGCAGATTATCAAAGTCCGTATTAGTGTTGGTGATAGCACTACTGTTAACGCACAAGAGTTTACGTATTCGTAGGACTATCAATAGCTATGTAAATATTGATGTTAGTATATATTTTGTGTTAAGTATTAGCAGTGGTGTTAGCGCTAGTACTATAATATTATTGATGATCTACATTCGCAAGAATGTTGGTATTATTATTACTCTTGATCACGTGAAATTCTAACAGTTGAATACATAAGTGAGTTAAAGGATTTGTACTTTAATATAGTGGTATGCATATTTATGTACATTAGTACATACAGGTGTGTGTTAGTATTGGTATTGATATACACTATTATCAATATGAAAATGATTTTTGATATGCATAGGAGTACTAATAGCAATACTAATCAATATTAGTATTTGTGTTATGCATATTCGTACTAAGCTTTTATAGAAGTGTAATATTAGTAGTAATGCTGGTATTAGCTTGAGCATTCAACAAATGATCAATGTCAGTATTAGCAATGGCTATATGTAGGAGTATCAGAACATATATGTATATATAGATAGACAGATAGATATAGAGATATTCGTCTAAATATGGGCATGAGTATTGACAGCCCTTGCCTTTGCAAATAAGGCGTAGCGCATGGTCTGTCATCGGATGGGTCACAATCAGCCCTCCTGAGAATCAGTTCCAAGGTCCAGAGATTCCAAGATATCCAAGGTTCCAAAATTTCCAATAATTCCAAAATTTCCAAAATTTCCAAAACTTCCAAAACTTCCAAAACTTCCAAAACTTCCAAAAATTTCCAAAATTTCCAAAATTTCCAAAATTTCAGAAAATTCCAAAATTTCCGAAATTTCCAAAATTTCCAAAACGGCCCGACGTAGTGGACAGGATTTTTATTTGGTTATGTTTTCAATCCAAGCGCACTAACAAAGCATGAAGCACATGTACACTGACTGCACTCACAGACTGTATCACTCGCGCGGCACTATTTCTTTTTAGAGCGAGGGTGCAGACTGATGATTCCGGCTCCACATTCGTGGCCGATGTTCCGAAAAAAGGGCAAAGCTAAGATTGTCCAGCAACGAGGTTTCCGGCATTCTCCCGCAAGTGAAAAAACTTCCTGCAAGCAAAAAGGCAGATGATGCCACTCCCCGAAGGGCGGGCGGGTGGGACAAAAATTTTCTCACGCCTGCAAGCAAAACTGCGAATACCACCGACATGCGTGGTAAAGCACTCGTGAGAAAAACAGCAAGTCATGCAAACATACTCCAGCAAGGCATGACATGAAAAATCGTGCCCGTGAAAAATTGTAAACAATTTTTTTCCAAACATGAAAACAATCAAATAAGAAAACATCCCCCTTCGGGAGAGTTTGTTCTTCCGAAACATAAGGGCGGACTTTTTGGAAATTTTGGAAATTTCGGAAATTTCGAAAATTTCGGAAATTTTGGAAATCTGGAAAGTTAGGGGAGAGAGTTTTGGAAATTTTGAAATTGTGCTTTTGAAAGCTGAGTGCCCCCTCCCCCCAATCACAGACCATGCACTACGACTGAGTTGAAAGGGCATGGTCTGTCAACGGGGGGGGGGGGGGGGTGACCATATATATATATATATATATATATATATATATATTCTACCCCCCCTAAAGCCCGCAGAATGGACGAAAGGACTCATAAATCATTGATAGTACTAGAGTAGGCAACCTTTGACCCTCTCTAAACCCTAAACTCTAGACTCTAATCCTTACTTTCGAAGCAGTCACTGCGGACGGAAGAGGGCCCTTAAAACAAAAAAGAATGTGTATATATATACCCCCCCGTTGACAGACCATGCCCTTGTGACGGTGTACTCTCTTTCGGTGACTCGGCTGAGATATTGTATCTAAACACACCGCACATGACGATAATTTGTATAAAGCAAAACCATTACAGTACAAATGCCACTGCCATGTCCTGAGGACGCATGGACCAGACGCGCGGTACATGAGTTAATAGTTTTGTGGTCGTATTGATATTCGGATGAATACTAATATTAGTATTGGTATTCGTGTTAATACCAGTAGTAGTATTAGTGCTTACTGTAAGTATATAT